ACACTCTCTCTCTCTCTCTCTCTCTCGAATCGACCAGTGGCCTTTATTTGTCATGAACAATCAACGAATCTACAAAACAATGACACCAGCCAAGCTCACCTTCATCTTTTGGGAACAGAAACATCGCCACTTCGGCAGACTTGACATTACTACAGCCAGCGGCAATGCATCGCTTCCCGTGTGTTTTTCCTCCGATTTTCTTCACTGTCGCCTCCATTGTCAGGTTTTCTCGATTGGCAATCACTTCCAGTCGACTCCGCAACACTTTCCAGTAAAATACTCGCTCAAAAACGTTGAGAAATTCGACTTTGAAAAAGTGAAAAAATGAACGGTGGTGAATGTAAATAGTGCGGCGGCGTCCATCTCGTGACGTCCCGCAGTAGATCGCAAGCCACGCCCACGAAGGCGGAGGTCAACTGCAGATTTCCAGGCGGCAAATTCAAAACTCGTCAAATTCATTGCTATTCCAACATCTTTTGATATGGGTTCAATAGACAATTTTGGTCATTACTATACATATTAGCATAACAGATCATGCACAGGTGCACACTTCACTGGGCCTTTAAAGGTTAAAATGTTCTCTACAAAATGAATGACAGAAAATGACCATAATATCTCTGCCCATTACAAACAACTTTTATGTTGCATATGATGTTATGCATTCAGCAATGTGTGGATATGCCTTTCGAGTAGAAAACCATATAAATGGAAATTAAGTTTGAATTCTACTTACATGTACTTTCATTTTCATCAGAACTGGTAAGAGTCTGATCCAAAATAATTGTTGATCCACCTGCGTCACTTGAGTCAGCATCATAATCTTTTCCTGAGTCACTTGCGGACAAGTCAAGGCAACGCCTCTTCTTTGGACAGCTCCTCTCTTGTGCAGACCCTTGCCTCTTTTGCGGAGACTTTACGTTCAGAAGCCTCTTTTTAAGTTTATTGTGAATGGTTGTCTGTGGCAAATAACAAAGAATAACTTTATAAGAATTACTTAATCATGTTGATGAAGCCTTGACTTTTTTTACAAAATGTTAAGAGATGACAGTGAATTCAAATAATTATTAAGTACTTCACAATCAACAAAGTGCAAGTAATAAATAGCCACACATTTTAATGACTTACATGTTTCACAGCTTCATCTTTGTCTTGTAACATGGGATAATACTCAACTACTTTCTTAGCCATGGCTGTGAGTTCAGGGTTGGAAGGGTACTGAAGCTCTTCTCCTTGTGGACTTGCTCTCAGGATGGAAATCATGCTCGTGAGTGTGTTCCTCACTAGCCTGCAACTCAACTCCTTGGACATTACACATTCCCCCTCTCTGCCTGTGCGGGCCATCTCAAAGTAATGTCTACAAGCTTGTTCCAACTCACTGTCCGTGTAAATCACATACTCTGGTGGACTAGGTAGCTATAGGGTCATCTTTGGGCGTTTTTTCTCCAAAGGAGTGGATGTTTGGGGGAGACTATGTTTTCTACAAGGTGGAGTTCCTGTTTCAGAAGGGCCATCTTTATCTTTTAAGATAGGATTCTCGTCCTACAACAGCAGATAATGTCAAACAGTCAAAGTCAAACAATGGCGACAATCTGAAATAACATGTCTTGTGCAACTTTGTTTTTAGACCAAAGTAGGTAACCATTTACCTCTGGGCTGATCAAAGACCACACTCTTTTTCTCCTAAGAAAGTGTTCTGGCCCAGGAAAAAGGTCTCTCAAATCATCACGAGTGAGGGAGTGCATCAATACCTCATCGATGTTAGCAGCTATGAGGACAGCAGCATCATTACCAACATTTTACAATCCCAAATAATTATTTATCGTTTTGATTCAAACACAAATGACATACCCTTAAAAATTGACACTGTAACATCATCCATTGTCCCATCTATAACCTGGTAGGAAGAAAAAATATTAATTAATTATCATAATTTTATTTCAAACAGCTTTACAAACATGTGATTTAATATTACAGTGAATACAATCATTCCTTGTGGTTTAAGCTCTTAAATGCTTTTCATTTTATGTTTTTATCTGCTACAGAGGCTGAAAAATAATGGTTTTAGTCAGTGTGCGAAATACCCGTCAATATTCGGGGGGTCCCATCTCCCGATTGTTGCGCAACACTGACATAGGAGGTTGCATTGGCTAAAGTTGTTTGGATGCACGTTGTTTTATATTACAGGGTTTCTCAACGGGGGCGTCAGCGCCCCGTGGGGGGCGTTCGTACAACCTAGGGGGGCGCTGGGAACGAACACGGGGTGTCACAACTTCGCTTGTGTAGTGGTCATTATCTTGAACTTTTTAAACTTTCATGGTTTTCAAATATTTTCGGTGCAAAAATAGGATAACTGAAATAAAAAGCCTATCTTCATATGGGTTTCTTACCCTTCTATCGTCTCATCTACTTTCTACTTTATGCTCAGTACCGTCATGATCGCTATAGTAACGCCGATAAACAAATCCACCTCATCACAGTAGAGTGGTCCTTTCCGAAACTATTTCACTGGTTGGTTTGCTGGACATGCAAAGCAAGCGGTGTATGGGGCATTACACTAAGCAACATGAATCTCATTCATATTACATAGTAAGGCAACATAAGACGTGAAAAAAGCTAACTCTGCTTAGCATGCTAATTGTAAACAATAGAACGTGCGCATTACATATAGACCACTGCAACGTCGCTCATTACGTCTGCGAACCGATAAACACTTACTTTCATAAGGTACACCAACCGGCACATGAACATTTAACACTGATGTTACAGGCGCTTAACTTGTATAGTAACAAACTACTTTAATTACTATTTGGCCGCGAACTTAAACGTGCTACTCTCCAACTCAGAACGAAGGGACCCCATATTTCGCACACTGGTTTTAGTGAATACTGACAAAACAGCTATCTTTCCCTTGCTGTATCTCAATTTGCATACTTCTGTACTTACATTTACTGTTTTGAGTGTATAAATGTGTTCCAATCTGAAGCATGAAATATTTGTGTGCACTATAGGCCTACCGGTAGTACCCGCATGGTTCATTATAACGGTCAAATAGTTCAGTGTGAAACGCTGAACACTTTCCACTCTTAGTTACCATTTTGACTGCGTAATGGAAGTTGTGGGACCGGTGAACACATCACGATACAAATAAAAGTTATACATGTCGTTTTTAATTCATTATTTAATAAACGTACCACTATACTGGTGTAGAAAAGAAGCAACTGACAATTTTAGTGGATTAATTCAGCAGTCTGTAATGATTTGCTAGCTAGCTAGCTAACTAGCTAACAGACATAATATTTATTGAATTTTTAACCCAGCAACATTGGTACCGTGACAAATTAATGCGCTTTTATTATAATATGAATACACACCTTCTCTCCAATGTGTGACCTTCTTCTCTTCTCTTCTTCTGTGACCTTCTCTTCTTTCTAACCTCGTGAACTGGCTACTTGAAAATGATACAGTAGTGGGTTGAACTCATCGTTCGACAAATAATAATCTGGGTAAATAGGGATGATAAAATTAAGCATTTGAGGAAAAAAAGGTGACGATAGTGTTTGTAATTGCTAATACATATGCTTTTTGTCTTTTTCATATCGCAGCACATACTAAAAAGGATATATCAGAGACCCCAACCCCCCTATTGTTAATATGGTTTGACCCAACCAACGTGCCAAAGCCCTCCAGGAAGTCTTGCAGAACTAGGAGATATTACAGTACTGGCGCGGGCTGTGGTTCAACTTTGCCTTTAGCAGATGTTTTGTCTGTCACATCAATCTGTCAGCTTCCATCTCCTCCTCAGTTCAGAAGGTTTTGAGGAACATGGCGTATTGGCGGTGTGTGATTTGCTTCTTTTTTTTTGCATGAACATTGAAGTCTCGGCTGAGCCATGTTAACAAGGCACATGGCCGCAGTCCAGATTTCCGTGTTGTATGTGGAATTAATGGATGTTTCAAGCTACTTTGAAAATGTAGTGAGCTAAGCTACCAGTTACTCTGCCATTATGGAGCTTCACTACACAGAAGCTACCAACCAGTCAAATGTAGCAAGCTATGTTACACAAACACCGCAAAAGTAGCTCACTACATGTGAAGCTACTTTAATGGTGCCTTCACGTGCTATGGGAAAGATGATCCTTTCCATTTGTGAATTGGTAATTACGAGTGCGTTGTGTTCACGTGCTTTTGTTGTCGTAGTGAAATAACCCTAATTTGTGTACGTCATAAAGGGGGTTCTTATATGGGTTTCTTTATTTTTACTCTGGAAATCTTTTAATCTGGACTTTGCTATATAAATACTAATTATTATTATTACTACACTAGTTGGCTACTTATCTCTACTTTATTCTGTCCAATGAAAACTTAAGCAGTAAAACAATGATTGATTGATGATTTGATCTTCCTCTTGCCTCTCAAAAATAGAAGAGGAGCAATCTCCTCTGCCTCTATGGACCAGCCGCCACTGGTTGAAATAGCAATTTTCACTAGCCAGAACACAGGACTTTCTTCCTGTAATTATTTTCACAGACACTATTTAAATAAGACATATTGGACAGGGGCTGCTGGTTTAAAAGCCATATCTTACATGATAATATTACTCAAACATACAACACTTGAGTTAACTAGTCTTTCTTCTAATTGTGTAATATTACTATGAATATGTCTCCAGGAAGAAGCTGATACATCTGGCGGAAATCTTTCCAGACGTGCAGTTGCATTTTCCATCAATGTCCGTGAAAAATGCCACCTGTCCCAGGTATTTCATCTATTAGTTGCTTTGTAAAAAAGTGTCTGCTAAGTGACATAATGAATGTAAGTGTGCCTGTAGTAAAAGGGGTTGAAGAGGTATGTCATTTTCAACCTTGTGTTCAGACATGGGGGCACTTTAGTTATGTTAGTTAGCTATGGACACTCTGACTGTAAATGCATACTCTGATGTATTTAATTTTTTTAATTTTCTCTTTCAGAGGAGTGTCAACGATATTGTCTCTGGGGTCCAACAGTATCAAGCGGCTCTTCTGGATACCTTGAGAGACAAAATGAAGAGGGTCTTCGAGAGTCATTCAGGGAGTACGGCACAGCTCCAAGAGGAAGCATTGGCAACATTTGATCCTTTTCAGGATCCTTTCACCCTAATGGCCACCACATACATGCAGGATAGCACCATTCAGAATCTTTTTAACCCAGTGAAACCAGAGGAAATAGTTGTGTCTCAAAAAGTTTGTAGAGTTAAAAAGGGAGACTCAAGAGTTCTTGTAATCAAAAACAAAAGTTTTTACTATATACCCCTAATTAATAGTCTACAACAGTTGTTGTCCAACTCCAGAATCTTTGATATGATCAACACTGCACCACAAAGCTGCAACAAAGATGGGTTTTTGTATGACATTGTTCATGGGAGTCTTTTTAAATCTCACCCTCTGTTTTCAATAAAACCTACTGCTTTGCAGCTGATCTTGTACACTGATGAATAGAGATATGCAACCCTTGGGGTCACATAGCTTCTGTAACAATTACTGATGGTTTATATACTCTAGGAACATAGACCCCAAGTTTAGATCGAAGCTTGCAGCAATTAGACTCCTGATATAGCAAAAGCGAATGATATTGACCAGTGT